GAAGAAGGAAGTCAGCCCCACATTTTCCCCCCATGCTTTCTTCTGCCTGGAAAGACACTAAATGTGACATATCTGACTCAACATTGCTCATAAAATATGAGCCCACAGCTCATTATCTTACAGAACATTTTAGGGAAAAATATAGAGCCTGGGAAGGCATAGGCAGGGTCTCAGTTCTGACGCACCCACCTGTTTTATTAAATCCAAACACCAACCATGCCCAGGTTTTCCTTAGGTCGGGTTGCCCAGTGCCATCACAGAAATATGAGGGCCACAAAGATGGTTGTTCACAAAGTGAGACTTCTTGTTCTGGAGATGTGCTGTTACAGTCTTTGGCTGTCTCCATTCAGACCATGGCTCTCAATCTGCCTCTCACCTTGGAAAATGTCACCAGAAGTTGTGACCTGGGAGGCAAGTTACTCAGCTTTGTGGATTCATGATTTATGTCTCTTGTTAAATACACACAAATGAAGTAATTTAAATCATTTTACTGAGATATGGAAAGGCTTTAGTACAGGATATTTTCACAGATGTTACTGTGTATACTAAATAAGAAATGTGTACCAGTCTCGGTTTTAGGTTTATATGACCTTGTCCTAACTGATCTAAGAATCACTCTATTTGACACCCTCAGGAAAGTTATGCATGTGTCCCTTTGGAACTGACTGGATATTGTTTTGTTTGACTGATTATTCAGTTTATTAACGCTAAGAAATTAGAACTTTGAGCATATCTCCATTAAATATTATAAAATCCTGTATCTAGAATCTGACTTCATTATAACAGTAATAGAACTATGCTTTTTAAAAGTTTTATTTATTGAAAAGATAGTACATCCACATAGTACAATTTTCAAAAGTTATGAAACGATATGCAGTTGTCTCCCTCCCAATTCCATCTCCCCAGCCACTCACTTCTCTTTCCCAGAGGTAACCATGGTTCCCAGCTTCTCTTGTATCTTCCCAGAGGTAGTTTATGCACATACACTCAATTATGTACAAATGAGTAAATTATACACTCATTTGTTCTTTTTATATACAAATGGTAGTACATTATACTCACTATCCTGTACCTTGCTTTTTTCACCTAATAATGTATGTTGGAGATCATCTCACATCACTATATAAATGGTGTGCAAGTTCTTTATTTTATTCATTTTTGTCTACCTAGGAGTTTGCTGTATCAACATATCAGGATTTCAGGAACCAGACCCCTGGTGTTGTCATTTGGACAACTTCCAACCTTTTGTTTGCACAAACAGTACATCAGTGAATACCTCTGTGTGTTCATCATTTTCTATATGCATAAGTATATACATTCCTAGAAGGAGAATTGCTGGAAAAGCTTGTGTGGTTTTGATTACTTTTGAATCATTCCTCTTTGAATAAGAGTTGTTCCTGGACTTGACATTTGCTGGAGGTTCATGTGGGAAAAGAAACCAGGACCACATTCTAGGCACATCAGAGGTTTTCTTACAACTGGGAATTTTTTTCCCATTTTATAATTCTTTCAGATTTGACTTCTCTGAAGTATACAGTGGCAGCTGTAGGTTTCTTCACAAAGAACACTCCCTTCTCTTGCCCCAGGCCCCACCAACTGCTCTTCTAATTAGTACAGACTACTTTCTGGTAAATAGGGTTCGTCTGAGCAATTCCCTCTCAAGGCCTCTGCCTGTCTCTCCTCAGACCCCAAATGGGTCTAGGAAACATCTTACTTCCCACCTACCCATGCCCTCTGTCACTGCTGTTGTGTTTGTATATGGTGTTGCATTCAAGGTGTATCCTGAACCTCAGCTAAGAGTTCTTACCAGTGCTGTCACATCTGCAGCCTTGAGCATTCTCTCTCCTCCTAGATCTCCTACACTGGCTGCTTGATTTTTTCTGCCTGTGGCAGCCCTCTCATCAGTGTTTCAGCTATCTCCTAATTTTGTCACATATAGAGATTACACCTCTGCTTCTTTTTCTCCCTGTAGCTTTTGGGTGAAGACTGAGATGAAAAGAAAAAAAAGGCTGACTTTATTCCCCATAATTAAACCAAAAGTCAGAACATACTTTTTAAATGTTAATAAATAAACCTTTTTCTTCAGGGAACATAACAGACATTATTGCTTTACTCTCTAATGTGAAATGAGCTTTGACTTCCGGGTGTGGCCTTTCCCATAAGCTTTCTTTCCTGTATGTGTTCTCTGATGTACAATAAGGTTTGATTTTTGGGTAAAGGCTTTTCCACATTCTGTACACTTATAAGGTTTCTCTCCAGTGTGAGTTCTCTGGTGTACAGTGAATGTTGATTTTTCTCTAAAGGCTTTGCCGCACTCATTGCATGCATAGGGTTTCTCTCCTGTGTGTGTTCGCTGATGGATTATGAGCTGTGACTTCTGGCTAAAAGCTTTCCAACATACAGGACATTCATAAGGTTTCTCTCCTGTGTGAATTCTCTGATGTATAACGAGCTTTGACTTTTCTCTGAAGGCTTTGCCACATTCATTACATTTATAGGGTTTTTCTTCTGTGTGGGTTCTTTGATGTATAATGAGATATGATTTCTGAGAAAATGCTTTTTCACATTCATTGCATTCATAGGGCTTCTCTCCTGTATGACCTCTCTGGTGTAGCATGAGATAAGATTTCTGAGAGAATGCTTTCTCACACTCATTACATTCAAAGGGTTTCTCTCCTGAATGAGTTCTCTGATGTACACCAAGGTTTGACTTTTGGGTGAAGGTTTTCCCACACACATCACATTCATAGGGTTTCTCTCCTGTATGAGTTCTCTGATGCACAATGAGGGTTGACTTCTCATTGAAAGACTTCCCGCATTCAGTACATTTATGAGGTTTCTCTCCCGTATGAGTTCTTTGATGGATAATGAGAGTTGACTTATCACTGAAAGTTTTCTTACACTCATTACATTCATGAGGTTTCTTTCCTGTATGAGTACTATGATGTATAATTAGATCAAGCTTCTGTATGAAAGATTCCCCACATTTAGTGCATTCATAAGTTTTCTCTCCTGTGTGGGTTTTCTGATGGACAATAAGGTTTGACTTCTGAGTGAACGCTTTTCCACATTCATTACATTCATAAGGTTTCTCTCCCGTATGAGTCCTGTAATGTATGATGACAGTTGACTTTTCTCTGAAGGCTTTGCCACATTCTGGACACTCAAAGGGTCGCTCTCCTGTATGAGTTCTCAGATGTATAATGAGCTGAGATTTTTGACTAAAGGCTTTTCCACACTCAGTACATCCAAAGGGTTTCTCTCCTGTATGAGTTCTCCAATGTACAATGAGGTGTGACTTCTTGCTAAAGGTTTTCCTACATGCAGCACATTCAAAGGGTTTCTCTCCATTTTTAATTCTCTGATGTAGACTAAGACCTTTCTTTCGCCTGAGGGCCTTCCCACACTCTTTATATTCATAGGTTTTCATTCCAGGAGTTGTTTTCTCATACTCATTATGGAATAATAATTTTGCACATCCATTATCATGTTTCCTTCCTACAGAGCTTCTACTAAATAAGCCTAAATTATCTACCATATTATTTTCAAGTGATTCATATTTCTGGGGTCTTTGTATTGAAGCAACAAGGTTTGTACTCAGATGAAGTGTGTTTCCAAATTCATTATAGTCATGGCCATTCTTGGTGATAGTTGTTTTCTTGTCAGGAAATCCAACTTGCATCAAAAAATATTTATCTTTGTCTTCCTGGTACTGTACCTCAATCTGTTCATCAACTTGGCAGGCTTCTTCTAGAAAGAAGTACAATAAACCATTTTTATACTTTGACATTATTGAATGGACCTTCTTCAGAAATGTCCTGCAATATGAAAGCTAATACTATTATTTCATTTTATCAGAGTTCCTAGAGAGAGAAACTTGACCATCAGATTCTGTTCTTTTACTAAACATATGCTAGCCTTTTTGTTACCAAGAACAATCTTACCCTAAGACCTCAGTCTTTCTTACCTCTACTTTTACATCATCTCTGATTTCCATCAACTCTGGTGACCTTATCACCCTTAATCTTCTTTATACTATTTACAACAATCCCAAATCCACATTCTCAGTAAATGAAAGATTTAGAATAATTACCCTTACAGAAACAAAGAAAAACCTAAAGACCTTTGCCCAATCTGGATTCACCTCTGTATCCATCTAAGCTTGCATTCACAGTTCTTCAACACCACCTTCTGCTCCTGTCTACACTATTCCCACTAATATCTTTGTCTGTTATTAACTCCAAACCCTTCCTCGTGTCCCATCACTCACAGAGCCTAGTCCTCCATATTTTGCTATATTCAGAATCTAGATAACTTTTAAGAAGTTCTTTTCAAAACTTACCTTGATTTTCCTCAATAACTTTAATTTTTATTAATTTCTAAAGTAGTCATTCATCTGTACCACTCATTCAGACAGATAAAATTCCAAAGTCTTGCCTCTAATATACTATATTTCATCAATTGCAAGATGCATATTATTCCACATTTTAACATTTCTGAATGTAGATGCACCTTACAATCAATGACATATCATAAATTAATTGGTGGCAATTTTCTTTCTTAGTGGTGTATATTAAAATCAGTGGTCTCTAGAAGTCAATAAAATATGGTAAATACTTTTTGCAGATACTTAATTTGTATCACTTTTTTGTAGTTTACTTCTCACCTTTTCCTATAATTTTATATGAAAAATTTCAAACATACAGAAAAGTTGAAAGAAGAGTACAATAATTAAACTACTCATATTACCACTTAGATTTAATGAGGATAATATTTATGATAATACTGAATTTTAAAATGGATCAGGCAGCTGTGGTTTCTCTTCCTGTGACTTCCTTTCTTTAGATAGCCAAGCACTAGTTCTTAACAAGGAGTGAACATCAGAATCACAGAAAAAGCTTTTACAAAGTACATTTGATGGGACCCAAGCTCCACCAATGATCTACTGAATCTGTACCTCCTTAGGTAGTATGAAGCAGTATAGCACATGTGGCTATGGTCATGGGCTCTCTAGCCCAGGATCAAATCCTGCCAAAGCCTTTTATTTGCTCTGTGACCTTAGGCAAGTTATCTAATCCATTTGTGTCTTACTTTACCACCTGGAAAACAGGAATCATAACAGTGCCCACACAAATGGTTATTCATATGATTAAATTACTTAGAGTGTGCATGGCATATAAGTGCTTTCAAGTGTTTACTAGAACAAAGACTATACTACTACAATAATTGCTACTACATTATGATTAAAAACTACATTACTATAAAAATAAGGAATATCTCAATATATTTAACATATTCTCAAACATCAAGTAAAAAAAGGTGATTAAAACTATAATAGTCTACCATTTTTCCAAAGAAGGAAAAGTATATAAATATATATTTATATAGGCTCATGCTGTAAAAACAATGGAAAGATAAACTTTTAAATTTTAATTTACCTATAGGGAGAAGGAAAAGAAGAGAGTGGTATGGAGAGGGGAGGAAGCTGGACTTCTTAGAATATATCTTGTTTTCTAGATTTGACTTTGGAACCAAGTAAATAATTTGTGTTAAAAAGAAACAACAGACTCAAAATGGAATCACTTGTGATTAGCCCCACCAAGGCTTAATAACTACAGTTTCAGCCTCTCTCTGGAGTGAAAATTTAAAACCACTCTAGAATTTCCTGGTCAACACTAGTAAGGTAATGTGCCTGATAAGACCCTCTTTATTCCCCTAAGGGAAGGTGACTTTGCCTAAAGTAATCCTTTTAAACCTCTTTGTCCCATTCTCCTGTCTATAAAAACCTTCCATTTTGTACAACTCCTTGAAACTCCCTTCTGTTTGCTAAATGGAATGCTGTACGATTCATGAATTATTTAACAGCCAATTGTATCTTCAAGTTACTCAGTTGAATTCTTGTTCATTAACATTTGCAAATTTTATATAAGCAAACCTGAATATAAAAGGATTCCCTAATAATAAATATCCCCTCATTTGTACTTCCTAACAACCATGCTTGATTCTCAATGATACCAACATTACTTCAGTTGATTCAACCACTGTACACATTCAGCAGTCTCAGAATAATAGTAATACTACTGTAAAAAAAATATAAATGGAGCCACTTTAAAATAGAGTCTAAGCTGCCATTCCAGAGGACCTACTTTGCACATGTTATTCCTCAAACCTTTGTAATGTTAAAAACAGCAAAAAAAAAAGGAAGGAAGGAAGGGAGGGAGGGAGGGAGGGAGGGAGGGAGGGAGGGAGGGAGGGAGGGAGGGAGGGAGGGAGGGAGGGAGGGAGGGAGGGAGGGAGGGAGGGAGGGAGGGAGGGAGGGAGGGAGGAAGGAAGGAAGGAAGGAAGGAAGGAAGACATTTGGACTAGGCCTAAAGCAACATTGTATCATAAATAACTGTTTGGAAAATAACAAGAAAGCAGACATGACTACCAGACTGATAACTACTGAACTACCAGTCTGAAAATTAAAAACATTGTTTAGAATTAGCATCACTATGTTAGCTTATCAGCACCTATAGAAATGTCTTCCTTCTATTGATGTAATTGTTTCCCTTTCCTTTCTCATAAATACTCCTTATGTTTGTCTCCTAATCAGAATACTATTTAGGTTTCTGTCTGAATCAGTGCTTCCCAAATAGCTATTCTTTTTTGATCTCAAATAAATGTTTGTTGCCTCTCACTTCGGCCTTTAATTTTTAGGTTAACACTACCATCAGATGTAAGATTAATAAATTAAGAACCTTTAAGTCCAGAATTTGCCTTGGAAATATCAATTTGGATACATGATATATTTTCTCTTAAAAAAATCTTTTTTTACATAGTTCCTAGCTCTGTCAATGAAAAGGCCTAGAAACTACTCCCTAACATCTAAATTGTGGTCTCAAAACATTATTTACCACTAAAGAGAACTAGGCCTCCTTAGAGAAGTGGCTGACTCCAGGTAAGAGACAGGAAATATGTAAAATGATCCTGGAACATCTTATAACACCAGAAAGCAAGGAATGTACTAAAAACTCAAGCCAACTTGAAGAAGTTTCCAGTGGCCAGAGATGGGGCACTTTGATTCATAATAAGGATAAGGCAATGGATTAAAACATAATTATGTTTAAATCCCTAAGTCCATAAATGATACTCAAAAAAGACATATTAGTACCTTTGAATGATACTATAAAACAAACTCATTGTTTTGCAAACTAGTAAATAAATAGAGAAACATGTAACTCATGTATACTATGTACCTATTCTGTAAAATGTGTAATTCATATATAACCAAATACGGCAATCTCTCTTTATATAATTATTCCAGCTAATCAACAAAGAAGTAATGATAGATTTTGAGTAGTACCATTTTGCAATCATTAATGAATTAATGGATCTAAGCAATACTCACCAATAACTCATAACATAGTAAAAAGACAGACAACCATGTATTACATGTCTCCTGTTACACCAGCTAGGAAGTCATCTTTCTAAAAGAAAAAAAAAACCTGAATCTGATCAAGCTTCAAGATCTAACTACCAATTTGTAAGAAAAACAGGGGAGAGGATTATGTTAAATACCACCATGGGGTACTTAACAGCAAAAAGAATGTGAGAAACTAAAGGACAAATGACCCACTACTTAAAAAATAAATGCAAGGGAGAAAAGGTGGAGAGGAATCATCTGTAGATTATGAGACAAGAATCCGAGTAGCTATGAACACACCCAGCACCTAGATCCCGATTTCTATATACCATTCCTTACTAAAAGGAATCAGAAATCTTTGGAGAAGTCGCTCATTCCAGGTCTAAAATGGGGGAAATACAAGGTGAACCTGGAACATATTTTTGTGCTAGAAAGTACTCAAGAAATGATGGACACATGTCAAAAGACAGAGGAGCCAGCCTGAAGGTACTCTTACTAGCCAAACTGAGGACAACTTAAACATCAAAATGAATAATGACAGTAGAAAGTAATGGATTAAATACACCGAAAAATAGAAATCTATGAGTCCATTCTATACTAAAATTAATTGAGATGGGATAAGGGAACTTTTTTTTATAGAATAGTGCCAACTTATAAATGATAGGAAATTCATTTTTTTCCAACCATCTCAGTAATAACTGATTCAGGCAATAATCTTGGAATGTTAAAACCACTGGTTAAAAATTTTTGAGGAACAAGATATTCACACAGTTTGGCAGTCCCACAAAACATTAGATGCACAGCTATCACATTGTCCAACAACTCCTATATATGAACTCTAAAGAAATGAAAACATATATCACCACAAAAACTTCTACATGAATGTTCATAGAAATGAAGTGGAAACAACCTAAATGTCCATCAACAAATGAACACATAAACAAAAGGTGGTATAACAATACAATGGAGTATCATTCCGCCATAAAAATGAATGAAGTACTGATACTGCAATGTAAATGACCCTTGAAAACATGCCAACAAGTGAAAGAAACCATATATTAAAGGCCACATTTTGTATGATTCCATTTATATGAAATGTTCAGAATAGGCAAAACCATAGAGACAGAAGGTAAACTAGTGATTGTTAGGAAATGCGGGGCAGGAGAGAATAGAGAGTGACTGATGAGAGATAGGCATTTCTTTTGGGGGTGATAATCATGTTCTAAAGTTAGATAGTGGTAATAGTTGCACAACTCTGAATATACTAAAAATCACTGAATTTGTATACTTCAAAAGAGAATTTAATGGTATGTGAATTATGTCTCAATAAGGATCTCTTTAAAAAGAAATAAGATGTTTTAGGAGAGCAAATCTGATAGAAATATCTAAACTGAATGGAATCAGGCAATTCAATCTGGAATTAGAGTATTAGCCTAGCCTGTAACTAATGTGGGCCTGGCTTCAGATAAGGTAGTGAAACATCAAAATGAATAATGACAGTAGAAAGTAATGGATTACAAAGTTGGAGGCAGGGGTTGGCATGTACAAGACACTTAACTGCAGGGAAAAAGAGCTGTGCAGAAACTTGTGAGTGAGCACCAACTTGAGAGTAATCTGATAGGTGTAGGACAGAGAGAGGGATCAGTCTTATGTCTGGGGTATTCATGTGCCTGTCCAACAACATCGAAGGGCCACAACTTTTTCCCAGATGTTTCTGAAAGCCCTTTCAGAGGTCCTCACCCGACTGATAAGCTGGGACCTCATGTCTCCATAGCCTGGGTCAATCTCACTTACCTGGAAAACTCCAAATTGGGATTATTCCTTCTGCCAGGCATGGCTCTTCTACCTCCAATTTGAGGATGATGTCTGGTTTGGTAGCCTGCTGCCCTGCTAATGAGAAATGACAGCAATACCTCCTTGGTCTTCAAAGCCTCTGAGAAAGAGGAAGGTGGAGTTTGGGGCAGCAAACTCAAGGGACCTATCACGATGCAATGGTTAAGTCAAACCACTTCACCTGGGTTTTGAGTTGACACCTTGTCAGGAGAGCAAAGAGGAGAAAAAGGAACTTTGATCCCTGGAATTCAGTGTCAAACTCTTCAAACAGTTCAGAGACCCTGCAAGTTTCTAAAACTGAGAAAGTCCCTCTATTTGACATAATCATAAATAGTGAAATTACCTGAGGAAGTCATTCTTACCCACAGAGACCAGGTTGCTATAGGTCTCCAGCATCACATCTCTGTACAGGGTCCTATGTGGAGGGTTCAAGTACTGCCACTCCTCCTGGGTGAAATCCACAGCCACATCCTCAAATGTCACAAGTCCCTGTAATTGCACATTCCTTTTATTCTAAAATCCACTCCAATGGGTGATGAGGATAGAATGTAGGGGAGCTTCTGGTTGGGTTCCCAGTTCATGGTGATGATTTAATACAGGATGCCTACATTATATTGTTAGTGACATACTTTGTGGGGAAATTACAAATTATGGTAGAAAAAATATTCCATTAAAAGAATATGTAAGACAATGTGGTATTAGCACAAGGCTAGACAAATAGTCCAGTAGAACTAAAGAGAGAATCCAAATATGTATGGACATTGGGATTATGACAAAGTTGGCACTGCAAAGCAGTAGGAAGATGATCTTTTGAAGTAACTGTGGATGGGTCGCTGGATATCTTATATGGGGAAAATGACATTTAACCCCTAATACTCACCATACACAAAAATCAGCTACAGGTAAATTATAAATCTAATGTGAAAGTTAATACAGTAAAGTGTCTAGAAAGTAAAAGGGAAAT